ATATATAAATACACATTTAATAGATTACAAATGTTTGTTTGCTCTGTGCAAAAGGGTATATTTTAGTCTTCACTGGGAAACAATAATTGCATGTGTGGGTTTTCAGATGTAGCGTGTACAAAGATGTAATATTACAGTCGTATCCCTGCATTATGAAATGCATTTTTTGAGAGTTCATCCTCAACCATGATCTGCCCACTGCTGGATAAAGGCTTCCTCAATCCCTCGCCCTATGTTAGTCTCGCGATGTGAAATCTATCTAGCACCTGCTCAAGAGCTGATGCCAATGCTCCATCTCTACAGTGGTTGACCTCGTGCAAATTCCCTCCTTTGGTTGCTGCTGTGTCGTTAATCTCCACCAGTGTTCATCATTCCTTCGTGCGATATTTCCTGCCCAAGTCCACTTTCTTTTCTTAACAGTCAATATAAGTCCTTTATATTGTTTAGGTTGTCAAATCTACGTGTTGCTCTCCTGTCTGTTGGTGTAAAGCAGCACACCGATGTGGCTCACAAAAAAGGTTTCTGTCATTGTGCTGTGTATTGATTACTTTAACATGGATTAGAAACATGGACATTGACAGACAATTGAACAGCTAAAATGTTGGCAAAGAAACATAGTGATGCATAGAAATTAATTGGGTTACATTGACCCAATTAATGAGTTGCTTCCATAGCACAAGAATGCTGTTATTGTCCAAAAATAGCTGTGCACATAGCCGTCAGTAGAAATAGCACAATTAGTCATAGGGGAAGATGAACTTCTGGCAGTTTTTATTTCTCTGAAACGTAATTCGCTAGTATGCCTCTACAACCATAGCACTGCCAAATGTTTCGCATTCTTTTTGTAGGGTACTTCTAAGCACTGTGTGTGTTGTATGAACTCGCGGATTTATAGAAGTAAAAATGCTTACGTGAGTCCCACTTGTTAAATACATATTTTAAGATGCTGGGTTTTTACCTGGTCAGAGTATGAATAATGATGACTGATGAATAGGTGTAGATTTATCTTGGCCTTGTGGCAAATCATTGCATTCGAATGTATAGCATTTCATTCAAACCATTTTTAGCGAATACTCATTTGATTGACAGGCGAAAGGGTTGCACATTGGTTATACTCGTGCCTCGCAGCAAGAGAACCCTGGGTTCGACTCTCGACTCGGGCAACTTTGTGTGGAATTTTTTCTCTCCCATTTCTGCATGGGCCACATACAATGTAACTGGTATTGGCCAAACATCCCAATGCTGCAAAATCACTCAATTGGGATTAAACAGCAGAAACATTGCTACTAGCAGGAACCTCCTGAAAAGGAGTCTCATGGTGAGGCTTTCCTGGGTAAAGCAAACATAAGCGTTATAATAATCTAGCTTAATTCTGCTGTGTTTGATATTAGTGACTGCGAGCTCGCGAATGGCATGAATGCATTCCTATGGTTTTCAGTTTAAAGGATGTGCAATAAATCGCTTGCCAGCACGCTAAAGTTATACATTTTACATATTTGGTTGTGCCAAGTGCAGCCCCGCACATTTCAACTTTTGATATTGAATCCATTCTGCCGACCACTGATACACTTTAAGCTCCTTTATTTTTTTCAAATATATTTGAAGAGAGATATAACACCATAAAACACAACACAGCATTTAACTTTAATAGTCATGTTTATACACATGTGATTGAGGCCAATACTAGTATTTCATTTGCACACTCATACATCTGAATTCAACTCAAATACACATGTTCGTCAGTTCTTGTACTGAGTAGAATTCCTGTTGTTGTGGTCAGTCGTAGTCTCTATTTAAAACTTTCATGACTGCAGAGATTCATATTCTTGGTGCTTTCGGTAAAGTCACGTAAAAGGGAAATAATAAAATAATATAAATATAAAATAATAAAAATTCTCACGACGTTTCGACTGCAACACAAGCAATCATCATCAGGTGTGAAATCCACAGCAAGAAAATGTTCTTCCTTCTACGTGACTTTACCGAAATAACCAAGAATATCAGTCGTAGTCTGTCAAAGATGGGCAATGAAGACTTAGTAACTTGCGCCTCAGGCAATTATTTTTTTAACAAAAACAAGCTTGTTATTTTATTGAACTATTACAGTGCTGTACTTTGTCGAATGTAATTGCGATGTGGTGCACTTTTCCAGCGGGGTGGCGCACAGTAGTTAGTGTGCGGCTGACAATCGGAAGGTTACGAGTTCAAATGCTGGTTATGGGGATCAACTCTCTGTCCTTTATTCCTTCTTGGGTCAACGTATGAACTACTACTTAATTCTAGATTTGAAGTTTTCGTGACTGCAAGGATTCATACTCTTTGGTTTTTTCGGTAAAGTCACGTAGGTAAAAAATTTAAATGAATTAAATCACGAGGTTTCGGGCGCAACACAAGCGGCCTTCTTCAGGTGGAGACAACTTAGCGAAAGCACACCGCTTAAGTGTGTCTCAGAGGTGGTAACATTGGTTTTCCTAACCAGGTAAACTGACCTGCCATAGGAACAAAGCATTTCAATGACTGGCTTCGGGCTGTAAAAACATGTTCAGTGCAGTTTCTTAACCGAGGTCATTGTCCATTGAGACTAACCATGTCTTTTTTAAAGGAATACCTGGGCGTTACAAACTTAGAAAAAATAAACTTGCAGCGTTTTGTCTACACACTGCATGATGAGGGCCTCGCCATGTCATGTCAGTAATAGTGGTTTTACCATAGCCATGCTGGTCAGTGCCGGTTGGTGAAGGGGGGGGGTGCCTGAAACCATTTTAGATTTTGATTAAAAAAACGAATATATCCACCAGGATGTGAAGTGGCCATGAGCTGGCAATTACGTAAATTGAGGCTTAAATCCAGCTGTGCTGAGCTTTGAGCATTATTCTCTAGTAGATGTCAGTATCAAACGTTCATGGAAATGGCCAACAATGCCAGAGCAAGAGGACTGTATAAGAGACTTAAGTAATTATTAATAAATTATATTTTGAAGGTAAATACTTTGATCAATATCACTTACCTTTATTATGTTTTATTGATTCATGCTACATTTACCCTTTTAAAATGTATTATTTGATACTGCATCTCCTCTAATTGCATTTGGGATTTCTATTTTCAATTAAACCTTATGGCAGGACCCCGGGGTCCCGAATAAACGGAAATCAAAATCGTAAATCACGTATTTATTTTTGGTGACTCCGTCCCACCGCGCACATTGACGCCGCGTCCCACCTGGCGCGGATCATTCTGTTGTCATGTCGTCCAAGTGCAGCGAGGACGAATGCACAGAGGAAACAAAACTTGGAAACTTTGATTAGCACATCGTGTAGAGCTCGTCGAGAGGAATATAGATTGCTGTATCGTTCACCTTCAACAGACACAAAATGACGTCGCAACGCAGTTTATGTGAGAGCTGGGGGCTTATGAGACCCTGGGGTCCCGCCATAAGGTTAAATTGTTGCACTATTTTTGTGTACCTTCTTTCTAACCCTAGAAATAGACTGCAGTCTCCATGTGCTCTCGCTTGGTTATATATTAAGACGTGTCTGTTTGACTAACAAAATAGTAATTTACAAAGTTTTGTCAGTTCCATGCTGGATGAAGGCCCCCCCCCCCCCCCACACGCCATGTTAGCGATGCTTTCTTTTTACCGCGCTCGGTTACTGAAGGTGGTGGCGGTTGGGTCCCCAGGAGCGATTTGGATATCACTCGCTGCGACATCAGCGATTACCAGGAATCGAACTCGGGTTCACCTTGTTCATAGCGCAACATGATTACCACAGTGAAATCCTCCCCCACCCCTATTTGTATACCCTCCCTTTTACCTGATTCTGAGTTTAGCCTAAACCGTGGATTTGCTTGGTGACACTGCCTCGCAATAGCCCGTTCACCATTTGTTGCGTAGGTTCTTGTTTAGTAATCCAGCGGCCACCCTGCAGGCATATTAACCTCGGCAATACTCTCCGTCTGCTTTCCAGTGGACGGCAAATATCCCCTAAGACGTCATTCGAAAAAATGTCGGCCATTATGTGCCGGCATCGTGATACAAATTTTACACATTTGAAAAATCTATCTGCAAATTGCTCAATTCCAACATACATATCATCATCGTCCCCTACTGTGGAAACTTGGCTGGACCCTACTGAATGAGGGTCGTGAGACTCAGTGAGGATTTCATAGGTTAACAAGCATTGTCTAGAAGGTGGACGTTTTTCATTCACCAGCCCTATGCCCGCTGAAAGGTTTATTGCAGCCCGAGGCAAATTTTCAGATGAAATCCTATCTCCAGCCTCCTCAACCTTTCTGAAGCTCCCTCTTGAGACCCAAACTGCCCTATCCACCCCCCACCCAGTCTGCCATCAATGACGAGCCCATTTACGCAGAAATACGTTTTAAAATGCGTTGATATAATTTTACTTGTGCCTGCAGTTGTATGAGCGGCATCATGATCTGGTTTGGTAGGCATAGCTCTGATAATTTCATCCACCATCCTAACCCAGACGGAATAAATGTATTTATGAAAGCAGTGGTTTGGAATAATTGATCCCTTCCTCAGAGATGTGATTAATTGTTGTGATATTCAATTACATGGAAAATTTAGTCGTGACTTTTTTTAAATTTTGTCGTGACTTTTTTTAAAATTTTGTCGTGACTTTTTGGTTTATTTTAATCGATTCTTTATTCAATAGTGTGGTGTATGGTGGCGTCTCTAGTGGCTGCAGAGGTTGACGTGAACCTATTACGTACAACATAAAATAATCAATTGTTCCATGCACAATTGCAATGCTTGTATCATGACTTAAGAATGAATGAGTCAGCATCTTACTTCACCGTCTTAATCTCCCCATTGCAGATGTTTATACACCGCACAAAGTACTAATATAAGGCTGCATCAACAGATGTTAGCCGTGGCCGTAAATCAAATGCAGGTCACTATGCCACCTTTGCACGCACGTACACACCCACACGGTATCCACGAATTAACATCCTGGCCTCTCCTTGTTGTTGCACAGGTGGGATATTCTCAGGCCTGCTCGCCAAGCTGTTCGGCAGCCGGGAGATGAGGATCCTCATCCTAGGACTGGATGGTGCTGGCAAGACCACCATCCTGTACCGGCTGCAGGTTGGAGAGGTCGTCACCACCATCCCCAGTGAGTGGAGATTCTACTCTGTGCTCAATAACTTCGCACTCATTACACACAAAGTGCTTGCCGCAAATGAACCACAATACATTGCTGATCTCGTCCAGGAGAATAAACCATCACGCGAACTTCAGTCATCCTCACAGAGGCTTTTGGCTAGCCATTGAACGAAGACGGTCACTGCATCGCGTGCTTTCAGATGCGCTGATGTGGCCATCTGGAATGCCCTTGCTTCCAATATTAGGAAGCCACTGGAGCTATGCAATTTTAAATCTGGACTGAAAACTAATTTATTTAGAACTGCTTTTTGTGTTTAGTTTGTTGTTCTTCCCCCGAACCTCCTATTAGCATGGTTGGCTACGTGCGGTGCGAAAGAAGGTCAACGAACATACTACAATTATGGTTACAGAATTGTATCAGTCCCCTGCTACAAAGATGAACATTTCGGTCTCTCCAGTTGTAAGAGTTTGAATTTTGGCTTCAGCCCATTATGATTTAGCCAGGTTCTCAAATGTAGTAAGTTGATGGTTTCAGGACCCCTTACCATTCACTGAAGAAGAAAAATCACCTTGATTTGAATTACTAGTATGTTGATCGTCTCAGCCTGGTCATCACTAAAAACTACATGCCAAAAATCCTTTACATGAAATGATCTTTCATTTAATTTGATTAATTTTAGCTCTGAAAATAAAAAGCATCATAATGAACATTTTCCCGTTTACAAGTCACTTGACGGGATCTCATAAGTAACTCCGTGACATCTTTGGGCGAGCAGTTCTCTGCGATGCACTGCTCTGCAAGAAGTCAAAATGGGTGTTTCTCTCTCCTGATGTCATGCTGATGCCACAACCTGCTATAAAAAATATAAAAAGGGGAAAGAAATTAAAGAGATTTGCTTGCACTCATCCGGGTGACATATGCTTGCACATACAGTTCATGTAATGATTTCACAAATTGTTACATAAGCAATATAGTAATGTAAATGAATATCAGGTGACTCTCAGTTGCCTATATATTAGATTGAATACAAATAATGCCAATGATTACCATAATACTTTCATAGAAATGACAGTTAATAAAAGTAATAATACTGTCATTTTACTTTGTACAATAATAATTGTATCTTGTAGACGGACCGCTAAGCCCAATGAAGAAATCATAGTGGAATAAAATTAATTCCCATGACCTTTGTTCGACACGGAAATGCTCTGTACAATATTATGCTTGGAAAGCAGTGGCTTAACTGCCAGCCAGCCATCAGCTCACCCATTGTACACGTAAGCCAACTCTCAGTAGGTTGTTTACAGGTTGTTTGTAAACGTCACGTCTTCACGAGCTTGTGCCCCCATGCTCTCTGTGAGCTCACGCACTCGTCCAGTGTTTGCACGCACGTCAGTAATTTGTCACGTGGGTTCACACACCGTAGCACAGATCCACGCTCGGTGACGTTTGTGTGCCCATCGCACTCAGCCCACATAATTCAGGCTTTTAAAGTCAAAGATCTGCACGCGTAAGCACGCCCACACGCCCCCATACACATTTCACCTTACGCCCACATGCCTTCACTTTACCAAAGGGCTAAAAAAAAACCCATTTAGTTATTTCCAAATACGCGAACTATTAATATCCACGTTACTTCATTCATGAATTAGGTCTAAGTACATGTGCAGCCATTTTGGTTATCCGTTGCTAGATGAGGGCTTTCCCAAGCTGTATGGGTCGTGGAGGGGTTATTTGACCATGCTTCACCATGCTGGTCAGTGTGAGTCGCTGAAGGCGGGGAACATAGACATGGGAGTATGGTACGGTACAGCATTGTATTTGTATGCGCTGCTTGCAACGTAGCCCTATAGTACCTGTTTTATGCATGGTGATGAGCACCCATTGAAATAGTATCCATGACCCAACCCTGCTTAATTTGCGAGATTTGGTGAGATCGGGTGCATCCTAGGTCATATAGGCGGTGGGGGGCTTTTGCGATGAAACTTACGACGTGATTCAAGGTTTAGGAGAGGCTTGCCGCATGCAGCTATGTGTTGAACTTCTTTCACACTGTACATCGCCAACCGTGCTAATCGTAGGTGCGAGGTTGCTATTCGGAGGTGTAGCAGTAGGTGAAGGGACCAGACGTGGTTGTGGTGGCCATGGCTGAAATGGTGGCGACAGGCATCGTCTCAATGTGCTCTGTTTTTACTGCCGGGACCAAAGTCCGACAGTGGTGAACCCCACCTCGGTCCGCCTGATCGTGTCAGAGGCGATCTGTTTGCTTGGGGAGTGCTTACAAAAGTGCTCGGTGCAAGCGTGTCAGTCTCATAGCCAAATTGACCGCCCACAGTACTGTAAATGTGGTACTGTGTACCAAGGTGAAAATGTTTTCCCTCTGCAGTAGTGTTAAACACATTTGGTTTATGTTTTAACGCTTTCCAACTGAGCTTTAACATTTTCTCAAATAGCTCTCTCCATTGGTCTGTCTGTCTATCTGAAACAGTTGGTATATAATATATCTCAGAAAGATGATCCAATGTGAAAAAAAATTCCGATAAAATTGCTTTATAGTAATGTGAATGCTGTCGCAAGGTCACACATTTTGCGCAACTGACTATGCGTGATTATTGAATGAATGTGCTGCTATAAGGGACTGCACCTCGAGAAAACTGGCCAAGTTAATTCAATGTTATGCAAAGCTCATGATGAAATCCAGCCATAACACTTTTCTTCTTTCCAGCCAAAGCAATTACGTCATGAAATGGCGAGATAACGTCATTACGTGTCATCTCGCAGCATCGCATGTAATTAGCCGTGTGACTTTGTCTTGTTGTGCGGTTTGGAACATAACGTTGTGATCGCTAAGTAAATACTTCCAAGAACAAATTCACATTGGAAAATGTTACAGAATCTACACCTTGGTGTGATGTTTCTCGTCAAGTGATGTGGTAGTTTTTTTATATTGGTTATATCGTCATGGGTTAATTGTTTAATCTGTTGGTGTCGTCTAACGTTCAGGTTGCCACAGACAATCTCAAGGATTATCACATTACCATAAAACAATTACGCAAAGCTTCCATGTAACTTAAGGATGCAGAACACACAATCGATGCATGGGTTTTCATGCCTTGCTCTTTGCCTGAAATAAATGTGCAAAGAAACCCCAAAGCATAAACAACTCTGTCGTTGTTTGCATTCCGATTTAGTTCCCTATCAGTATCCTGTATCAAACACCATGAGCAGCTGACCACACAGGCCCGACCGAATAAAATAATCACCATTTTCATTCCAATACACTCGGTCATGTTTCCATCGTGAGATGGACATTGTAACATACTGGATAGATCATGGCTGATCACGACATTTAAATAATAATGTACAGCCAATAGTTAATCTACTGGTGGACGATGACATCCCCACTTCGTGTCAGTTATGCTGAATGTTTGACAATATGCTGGTCAGCCAGCGACCGATTGACAAAGGGCTGCAAAAATATTCATCATCATGATAATCATTTCAACTTGCAACACGCTGCACAGTGTTCGCTCACTGTGGAAGAGAGCAAACGGCTTTGGAGGCGCGAAGAATCGCAGACAAAGCGGGGTCGGGCAGCCAGGCCGTGAGCCAGCGGAGCTCTGTGGTCCTCTATATGAAGATGTTTTTGGCCAATTAATGAGTAATAAATTAAATACTAGCATACGACGTTTCGATTGCAACACAAGCAATCATCATCAGGTATAAATGAAATAGAAACACAAATCTAGCATACTTAGAAATGTAATGTAATATAACAGAGAGTCGGATAACATAACAGTCAACATTCTTAGGAAGAACGTAATCAACCAGGTAGGGTGTTGACTGTTATGTTATCCGACTCTCTGTTGTATTACATTACATTTCTAAGTATACTAGATTTGTGTTTCTATTTCATTTGTACCTGATGATGATTGCTTGTGTTGCAATCGAAACGTCGTATGCTAGTATTTAATTTATTATTTTATCTTTATACACGACTTTACCGAAAGAACCAAAGAGTAATTCCTGCAGTCACGAAAGCTCCAAATTAAGTTTCAATTAATGAGTGTAAATGTATGGGGTGGGGGGGGGGGGAAACCAGAGCACCCAGAGAAAAACCCACGTGTGCGAGGGGAAAACACCGTCCCGTGTAGACGGAACAGGTGGAGTCGACGTTTGCCGTGCCGCATTCTCCAGAAACCAGGTATGGCACCTCGACGTCCATGGGAGAAGGGAGTTTCACAACAAATGTGTGATCCACCAACCATTGCTGCCTCTCCACAGTGCTGGATTGCAGGCGTGCGCCGCTGCCGCCCGGCACCATTATCATTATCCTTCATCTGTCCACGTCCAAATGAAGCCCTCCTCAAGCCATCCAATCTCTCTCTCATGGTCTTGAAATGCAACATTCCATCGAGAGAATCTGCGCACACGCTGATTTAATCTCTCCACCTCCATGTTGATATCCTCTCAGGCGTAATGTTTGAATATACCTCCTGGTTTTCAAGTGTAATGTCAATAACTGTACAGCAAAACATAATCGTAAAATGTAATATTGGTTGTTTTCCTAAGTGAGCCTGTCCCAGCATTGCGGGATATGATTTGTGATTAAAGCGGATGAGTGACGTGCAATCAACTATTATGTATGAAGCACAGAGGACACATATCTGGTCCTGTTTAAGAACGATCTGTGAAAGATCTGTCAAAAGCTGTTCTGCGCTATCTATTTCTATTGCTATTTTCAAGTTGATATTAATTATTATTTGCCCATGACGTGACTGATAGACCTTCGGGACATGGTTGGTATTTAAATTGCATACTTTTTCATTTATCTTTTCATGATGATAACATTGACGTCTGGCATGTCAAACTTGTTTACCGTCAACCGAGTCTTAAGTTAATTGTTCACCTGATTCAGTAGTTCAACGTTCACAGCGGATGTTTCACAGGGTTATGGTCAAACCGAACCTGACTGCCACGTGATGGTTGTGCTTGGAATTGCCACCATC